CGGAAGGTGTGCACCACGCCGGAAGCTGGTGTGAGTAGACAATGGAAGGAATCCTGCTGGAGCTGAGTGTCAGCCTCTCTCGCTGCCCCCTTCTTTTTCACCTGGAAAGCTGGGCTCGGCCTGATTAAAAGCAGCCAGGAAGCGACGGGCTGGAAGGAGTCCTGACTGAAATTCAGAGCCAGGGCCCACGTGTTGCCTTCTGCCGGCCTGGAGGCCCCTCCTCCACTCCAGAGCCCAAGGCGGAAGGGAGAAGCCCAAAGCTCCCATGCCCTGGCTTGAAGAAGGGGTCAAGGGTGGATGCACGAATATTCTTTAGATATTACAGATTATTTCCATTCCTTCCTCATCTTCCAGTGCTGTCTCCCAGCCTGTCCCCCGTGCTAGGCACGGCCCCTTCGGGCGTTTGCCGACCACCAAGATGCTGCCTTTGCCCTTCATGGTGCCTGGACACCAAGAGCTGGCTACTGCCTATTGTGGTGGATTTGTTCTGAGAGGAGGAGCGTGGTGGGGGAAAGAGGCGCGGAGTCACCACACAGACCCCGGGAGTCGGGTGAAAGCAGGCTAGATGTGAGCAGCCGGCAGACTCGTTTATTTCAATTGGTGCAGCAGCTGATATAGCCGAGTCAGCCAATCCAGTCAAGGGGCGGTTTATGCCCTAACCAATCACTGCCTGTTGACAGGCAGGATCCCTTGCCCGGTGGGTTCTGAAGCCATTCCTGAGTAACTGACGCTCACTTGCCAGTGGCCATCTTGGCATGGCCTTCTCATTCCACCACAATCACCAACCAGGGACTCACCATGTTCATCCCAAAGAAGACGGAGTCTGGCCGGGCACAGAGCTCCTGTCTGACATCGGAGGCCCACTGGGAAGAGTGGTCACCCCCACAACTGGCTCTCAGGCACAACCTCTGGCTCCACGAGCCCGATTCCCCAGGGAAAGACAGGAGCACCTCCCCCAGTCCTGCAAGCTCTGTGCAACAGGTGCTGCTCTTCAGGGAATGCCCTGCCCCTGCACTGCCTGCCCCCGGCCCGCCCCGGCGCTGAGCCCAGCTCGGGTCCCAGCACAGCCTTCCCGGCTCGGATCTGGCCGGCACACATTGGTCTGACCTTCAGCTGTGTTCTCTGTGTTTACCTGTTCAGCGTCTGATCCGCTTTGGTGTCATGGCCAGAACTGGTCCTCTGCTTCAGGCAGCCATGAGTCGTGTGGTCCTACTTCCCTTTGTGTCTCATGCAGTTCCTGACTCGCAGTCGGTGCTCCACTGATAATAGCTTAATTTGGGGATGCTGACAGGGAAAATCACTTTCCCACATCTATTTATTTGACAGGCAGAGTTACAGGGAGAGGAAGAGAGAGAGAAAGAGCACCCATCTGCTGGCTAGTTCCTCAAATGGCCACAATGGCTGGGGCTGGCCTAGGCTAAAGCCAAGAGCCTGGAGTTTCATCTGGGTCTTCCATGTGGGTGTCGGGGCAAAGTACTTGGGCCATCTTCTGCTTTCCCAGGTGCATTAGCACAGAGCTGGATCATAAATGGAGCAACGAGAATTCAAACTGGGGCTCCTATGGGATGCCAGTGTTGCATGTGGTAGCTTAACCCTCTGCCATGGTGCTGGCCCCAAACCAGTTGTTCTTTCTTTCTATTTTTCTTAAAGATTTTATTTATTTATTTATTTATTAAAAGAGTTACAGAGGTAGAGACAGAGAAAGAAAGAGAAGACTTCCATCAGCTGGTTTACTCCCCAAATGTCTGCAGCAGCTAGAACTGAGCCAATTTGAAGCAGGAGCCAGAAGCTTCTTCCAGGTCTCCCACGTGGGGGCAGGGGCTCAAGGACTTGGATCATCTTCCAAGCAGAGAGCTGGATCGGAAGTGGAGCAGCCTGAACTGAAACCATGCCCATAGCATGCTGGTACTGCAGACCGGGCTTTAACCTGCTGCGCCACAGCGCCAGCCCCAGCCAGTTATTCTTAACATTTCAAGAGTGACTAGATCCTTGTGGAATATAGCAGAAGCCCCTGGAAGATGCATATAACATGTACAGAAAGCAAGCTCCATGCAAGAGCCCCCTGAAACTTGTTCAGCCATTGACTCCAAGCTAAGAACCACTGTTTACACTGGTCTTTCATCCATGCTGTAAGTAAGCTGCCACAGGTGTTGGGACCTATTTTTTTTTTTTAAGATTTATTTTACTTATTTGAAAGACAGTTATAGAGAAAGGTAGAGCCAGAAAGAGAGGTCTTCCATTCCGTTTGTTCACTCCCCAAATGACCACAACACCCAGAGCTCAGCTGATCTAAAGCCAGGAGCTAGGTGCTTCTTCTGAGTCTCCCAGGAACTTGAGCCATCTTCTACTGCTTTCCCAGGCCGTAGCAGAGAGATGGATCAGAATAGGAGCAGCTGGGACTTGAACCAGCACCCATATGGGATACTGGCACTGCAGGCTGGGGCTTTAACCCGCTGTGCCACAGTGCCGGCCCCCAGGACCCAGGTTTTGTATGTGGGGAGTCGAGGACTGATCGGTAGGGGGACCCCTCCAAGCTGCTCGGAGTGGCTCCCTGCCCAGGCTCCTCGTCCGCTTTAACGCCTAGTCTGCAAATGTGCTCAGAGATGTGCAAAGTCAACATAGAGATACTTTTCCCAACAGGACCCGTGCATCAGAGCAGAAGCCATAGCTTTTGTCATCCTTGCCCTTGCTACAATGGTTGGCGCCTGATGCAACCGTGCTCACTTAGTGCAACTGCACCACTTGCCAGGCCTCCAAAGCATTCCTCTCCTGGTGTCAGACCGAAAAGTAGTGACAACAATCTGTGTGCAAATCTTTGATCTTTTTGTCAGGAGCCCCTGCCCCCAGGGCTGCCTCCCCAGATCTGAGAGCAGCCAATGGCGGGTCCAATGTGAGCATGGCCAGGCGGGGCTGCCGCCACTGCAAGGCAGACTGTCTGGGCTCAGCAGCTGTGCCAGACAGCCTGCTACCGCAGGGCTCTGCCAAATCATGGGCCCTTTATTTTGCTTGTCCCCACGACTCTGCAAGCCTGGGCTTCGGGCTGGCAATGCGGTGATGAGGAAGGAGTCCCCGGAGGCACAGAGCCACAGCCTTACAAACAGCTCCAGTTCCCACTGTCAGTGCAGGAGATGTGCAATGCAAAACGCTGTGCAGTATCAATGCATAATGCCTCAGTCGCTGCCTCAGAAATCACTCTTGTACTTCAGTAAGGGGGAGGGGATACCAGACCCACAGGGTCCCCAAGCCCCCCGCTGTGGACCCATCATAGCCACTCGGATATCACCTGAGCTCAGCTTCCCGACATGACAGAGTGCAATGGCACCAGAGAAAAGCAAAGCAGGGGTTGGCAGGCTTTCCAAACACCACTGGTCTTTGACCTAATGCACTTCCTCACAGCTCTGCCTGCCTGTGGGCTGCTCTGTCCTCACACGGGGCCCCAGCCCCCATGATAACCAGCACACCAAAGGTATTCAAACCATCTGTGCCCACGGCTCCAGGCGTGTGCCAAAAGTGGTGTATGCTGGCCGGCGCCGCGGCTCACTAGGCTAATCCTCCGCCTAGCGGCGCCGGCACACCGGGTTCTAGTCCCGGTCGGGGCGCCGGATTCTGTCCCGGTTGCCCCTCTTCCAGGCCAGCCCTCTGCTGTGGCCCTGGAGTGCAGTGGAGGATGGCCCAAGTGCTTGGGCCCTGCACCCCATGGGAGACCAGGAAAAGCACCTGGCTCCTGGCTCCTGCCATCGGATCAGCGCGGTGCGAGGAAGACCTTTCTCTCTGTCTCTCTCTCTCTCACTGTCCACTCTGCCTGTCAAAAAAAAAAAAAAAAAAAAAAAAAAAAAAAAAAAGTGGTGTATGCTGTGAGTTTGTATGAGCGACTATTTTAAGTGCTGGTGGTCCTCCCCGCGACCTTCTTCCAGTTGGGCTGTTGTCACCTTTTCCCTGTGTTCCCTGTGTTGTGGCGTGACCCCAGGCACCTGTTCATAGCTGTTGCACTGTCTCCGAGACCACAACCTCCCAAAGACGTCCGTATTTCCATGATGCCTGATCCAGGTGCCTCTTTCCCACCTCCTTTAAGGCAATTCCAATGTTTGACCGGCACGCACTGTGCTAGCCTGATAAGGTGAAATATCTGGCTAGAAGGTTTACTTGGCTGCTTTATGCTGTTGTGGTAAAATAACAGTAATTGCGGGAGTAAGGAGCAGCTCTGGGTAGGAATGCGGCCTGGCCAGCTGTGTGGGGTTTTCCCTCAGCCTCCTCCTAGAATCACCTACACCAGCAGCTCTCAGCAGGGGACAGCTGTGCCTCCAGGGGATGCTGGCAATGTGTCCAGATGTTGCCGATGGCCTGGGTTCTTGTAACTTAGGAGGGGGTGTGATACTAGGGAGAGGCCATGGGTGCTGCAGGTATCCTACACGGCTTAGGGCAGCCTCACACTCAAGAACCATCCAGCACAAATGTGATCAGCTCCAAGGTTAAGAACTACCGACTACATCCATGAAGCCACTCCCACCTTGCCACTCTGTCCCAAGCCATCTGCAGTGTAGACACACATCTGGACTGGGGAGTTGACACCCTTCTTTAAACTTCGTCAAAATCTGTTGACTGTGTGACCTGGAGAGAGGCTCGAGGGGCAGGATGACAGAGACTTGAGTCTTGTGGTGGAGACAGACGAGTGTGTACAAACCACACACTGGAAGGCGAGCCAGCAGTGGCGGGAGCTGTCACTGCACGCAGAGGGCTGGGGACGTGAGAGGGAGGGGTGAACGCCTACTGAGTGGGAGGACAGGCAGGCCGGGTTTGAGGAGTCTTTAGAAAGCAGGAGTGTTCGTGCTGTGAGGACTTTGTGGACGAGGAAACCTCAGGCAGGCAAAGGGGCGGGGAGAGTCCTGAAGACCCCAGGAAGACCTCCAACGCGGGGAGGCAGGAGAGGGACTAAGGGGCTGTCCTCACCGGCTTGCCCCAGAAGTGCCTGGCCAGGCAGATGGAAGGTGAGGCTCCTCTCTCTCTCTCTCTCTCTCTCTCTCTCTCTCTCTCTCTCTCTTTCTCCTTCAGGTGTGGGGAATAACAGCCCACACACTCATGTTTCTGTTTCAACTTCTCATAAGCGCTCCCTTTGTTTGCTATGGGAACATTAACATTCAGTAGCGATTCTTGCCATGTGGATGCAGTATTTAATGGGCAAGGGAGTTTTCACCAAAAAGTAAGTTCTGAAATTCCTCCTGAAGCCAAAACGAAATAAGATCCTCTACTTGGTTCCGTCAGTAGGAATTTTGTGTGAGTGACAAGTTGTTTCAAGGAAAACTCATTATGAGTATGTCTATCTCAGAATCGTAGATTCTGGAGATGCAAGGGACTTCAAGAAATGCTCAGGTTTGGTCTTGTCAGATAACAGCCAGATAAGCTGCTGCGGCTGCCGCGCCACAGAGGAGACAGGTAGGTTTCGGCGCATTTCAGGTAGCGAGCACGCCTACGTTAAAGGATAGGGTTTGTTTGTTTGGTGCAGTTCTTGATGTGGGAGTGGAGAGTGACTGCTGTCCACGTGGTCCTGCCTGGATGTGACTGCCCAGAGATCAAGGGGCTGTGTGGCAGGGAGGGGGTGGAGAACAGACCTGGAGCAATAAGGAAGCATGCAAGCCAGGACTGGGGGTGGGGGTGGAGGTGGGGGGGGCCGAGCCACTGAGTTCTCCTAGGAGCAGATGTGGGGAAGGCTTGAGATGGTTAAAAGTCAGAAGTCAAAGTGCATCCGGAGACTGGAGCCACTTTAAGAAAGACAGGCTTTCAACAGAGCAGACCGCTTCTTTTGAGTCGGAAGAGGGGAGGGGCATCTCTCTGGGGATCCTGTCTGCCAGTGACTACCAAGGAGAGCCCCAGCCCAGACTTCCCCGGATCTGCACAAAATCTCTGCCTCTGTCCCAGTCCCAGCCTGAACCTGTCTGACCTCGTGTTTCCTGTCCAAAACGCTCCCTCTTCAAGTCCTCACCCCAGGGCAGAGCTCCTTGCTGGGTCAGTTGCCCACTTGCAGGCAGAGCCCACCTGGAGGGAGCCCTGGTTCTCTTGCTGGGGGCAATCCTAGTTTGAATGGCAAATGAACAGGCAACATCTCCTCCGTACAGCGCACGCGCTGGCTGTGTGACTCACAGTTGATTCTGTCAAGTCATGAGACGGAGGAGGAAGCCGTGTGGGGAAATCCCGAATCCTCTGCTGCCCCACTTCTTCGCACAAGCCTTACCCCTGGCGTTCTCAAATGGAGTTGGCAGGCTTCTACCTGCAACAAGTGAGCTGCAAAGACAGCAGTGTCAAAAACCAGGTCCTTTCTCGCGGGGCAGCGTACATACTTTAAGAGATCTTTTACAACTGCCAGGAATCATTTGCTCATATTTTGCTCAACCAAGGGATAGTCCCCTGCTGTCCAGAAGAAAGGCAACTTCGTATGCAACAAAAAACTAAAGCAGGCTTGGGTGGAATCCTCGGCGGGGAAGACGGCAGTGAGATCATTCCAGGGCATAGCTTCTAGGGATCGGTGATTCACTTACCAATAACACCGCGCAGGGCCACAGCACTGCCCTGCAGCTGCCTCCCTCCCCTGCAGAGTAGCCTAGGCCGCCTCGAAGGTTCCCAGGCCCCTGGCCATGGGCTCTGTGCAGGAAGCTGGTTGTGCACTTGCACAGGCAGTGAGCGCTTGGCGAAAATGCACCAGGCTATCCCTCATAATGGGCTTCTTTGGAGCTGACGGGAGTGCACATCTATGGGTGGATTCAATAAAATGAAGAGAGTTCTTTGCCCATCACGTCTCCCTGGACTTTGTAACGTTCACGGTGACACAGGAGTGAGTCACCAGAGGCAGAAGTCATCTGTGTTTGTGCTGCAGGGCTGTGTTCTGCTTGGATTTGATTGTGGGGGCCCGTGCCCTTGCTCTCAGAAACTCTGGTCTCAGGGAACAAATGCCTCCGCAGACTGATCCTCCCAGGGGCTGGGCTGGCCAAGGGATGCCACGCCCACCTGGGACACCCCTCCTGGAGTGAGAGAGAGCTTCGGAGTGTTTGTCAGAATCTCAGGGATACCTTGCATGAGGCAGCTCACAGCTATGGTTTCCTGAGTGAGGGGTTTCCTTGTTCACCTCATTTATCCTCACAAGGATCCCGTGTTCATTTTACAAAGAGGAAACTCTCCACCTGGGAGCAGTCGCCGGAGCCAAGTGGACCTAGCTGACGGCAGGACAAAGCGTGGGACAAGAGACCAGACGCCCCAACACTGCCTGCAGCTCTAGACTTCCCCCTGGAAAAGTGCCACCAAGGGGTGGCCTGGCTGTGGCCCACCTGGGGTAGCAAGCAACTCAGCAGTGGGGAACCGTGGGTGGCAGGAAACACAGTGTGCCAGCAGTCCTGCCTGTGTTTCCCCAAGAAAAAGCTGGAAATTTGGGTTTTTCTATGTGGGAAATCTACAGGTGCTTCTCCACTTAAGGTGGAGCTATGTTCCAGTAAACCCATTGTAAGCTGAACATATCGTAAGTAAAAATGCATCTAGCACACCAGACCCACTGAATATGTCAGCCTGCAGCACGGTGCCCCGGAGGACCCCGGCGACTCCCCCTCTCCATCGTGGGGTCACCGCTGTTCAGGGACACTGGGGGAGGCGCCTACAGCATGCTGTAGTCTGGGGAAAGAAGTAATCCAGGAGGGGAAGTGGCATTTTCTACTACATGTGGACAGTTTTTGTACCATTGTGAAATACTGCAGGTCCAACCATGGTAAGCCAGGCCCATCTGTAGTTTTAAATTTTGGCAGTTGGTTTCAAAACAAACAAAACAAAGCTAAATCTTTAACACCCTGCAAGTGAGTTATCACCATTTGTGTGAGCTGACCCACAACTTCTAGGTTAAGCTATGCCTTTAGATAGAAAAAGCCAAAGATGGGAGAGAACATGACTCCGTCTTTTTTTGTTTGGTTTTTTTTTATGAAATATGCTTTTTATTAAAATTAAAATTCTCAAAACTTAGAACAACATTCTAAAAAGTAGGAATGCTCAGGTACTTTTTTGTCACTGGTGATTTTTCATATTAACAATGATTCCTAGGCCTGGGACAATTTAAGTGGTGATCTGGAATCTCGGAGATCATCTCCCTGAGTGTTCGAAAGGTGACTGTGTGGAGGGCAGTGTGACTTCCCTGGGGTTGTACGTGGGGAAACAGACTGACAGCAGCTCAGCGACCGCAAGGCCACCTGGCCCACCATACAGTGCTGGGCTCACAGCCCCGCAGGGGCCAACCGGCTCTGACTGTTCTTTGCTTCAGTAAACCTTGATTTTTGGTTTCCCCCACCAACACTATTACATCAATGCCTGTTCCTCACTCCAGGCCACATCATTTCCTTCTGTACCAGTTCTAGTCATTGGGTAGAAAAGAAATCAAACAGTACTACTTAAACAAGTTCAATGCAAAGAAATGAAAAAAAATTTTTAATACATGTATTCCCTTCCACCACCAAAAAAAACAAACAAACAAACAAGAAAGCAGTCACAAAATGCTCTTTAAGTGGCACTTGTTACTTGCTTGTTTTCTTATTCAGTACAGGAGATGTGGATGGTTCCTAACCTGGGGTTCAGGCACTTAAGAGTGAGCCGAAGTAGGACAATCCTGAATCCCTTGTAATTGTTTGCAACATCATGTGTATGAGGTTTGGAAGAGAACTTCCAAAGTCCATGGAAAGTCCATGGAAAATGGAATTAGAAGAATAACTTCCTGCAGGTGCAAAAAAAGGTATGGAAATCTATGCATAGAGGGTCTTCCAAAAGCTCATAGAAAATGTAGAGTGTGGAAAAATTATGCATGGGTTTCAAGAATTTCCACATCAAAATCAACTTGTCTGTCAATTCCATTTTTCCATGAACTTGGTGAGTTACCCTGGCATTTGGGCATTTTTGTAGCTTTCTCCAGAGGATTCTGGACTTTCTCAGGATAGGCAAGCCCTGTACAGGCTGATACAGTACAGAGACAGAAACACAACTTAGGCTACCTCTCCAGATCTGCAGACCAACCTCTCGCCTGTGGCAACAGTGTTGAAAACATTTATTTGCGAAGCAAAGAGACAGAGAGCTCCCACCCACTGCTTCACTCCCAAATCCTACAATGACCAGGGCTGGGCCAAGGCCAAAGCCAGAAGCCAGAAGCCAGGAGTTGGAGCTCCCACATAGGTGGCGGAAACCCAACTACTTAAGCCATCAGCGCTGCCTCCCAGGGTCTGCATTGTCAGAAAGTGAGAGTCAGGAGCCAGAGTTGGGAATTGAACCCAGGTACCCTGCTGTGGGACCTGTGCATCTTAACCATGAGGCTAAATGCCAATCCCACCTCCCCTCACACCACCACCACCAAGGACTTCATTCTATTAGAAAGACATAATTCAGACTGCTTTAACTGCTAGAATTAGTCACCACCAGTGACTTTCCCCAAGCCCCTTGTTTATCAATGCCTGATAACCAGAGACCCAGGCTGGGCTCCAGCAGGCCAGGCCCTGACGTCTTTACAACCCTCAACAGCCTTGGGGCTCTAATTGGTTCCTTCTGAAAAGACCCAAGCCCTCCTTTCCTGTAAGGCAGATTGCAAAACACATTTGCACAAACTACAACTTTTTATGAGGCAATAATGACCGCGTGCTAACAATTGCATGTGAAGACGGCAGAAACCAGAGGAAAGTCGGGGCCTTTCTTGTCGCTAACCAGACTTGGCGGGGAGCGCAGGGGTCTTCCCACAGCAGATGCTGCTCGCCAGACGGGATCCAGCCGCATCCAGGGCTGCAGGCTTGGCTGCCTCGTCCCCTTCACACTTGTTCGCGGGACACAATGTGTGAGGCCTTTTTAGAATGGGAGCCGGGAGAGCACCAAAGGACAGCAGCAGGCAGGAGTGGGTGGCCCGGATCCGCCATCCGTCCTTGCTCCGGCTCCTGGTGTGACTGCAGACGGGTTATTTGACCTCTCCACGTGCTGAGCTCCTCATCTCTCCCACAAAATGCCCAGAAGGAAAAGGAGAAGTAAGCACAATCCTTGAGGAGCCCCCCGAGTGACAGGGTCCTTCCTTGGGAGACCATGTGCAGCCCCTCGTTTATCCTCATGAAGGGACACTTGGTCATGCCCAGGGGTACGTGATCTTGGGGGGGCATGGCCAGAATCCAAAGCTGAGTCTCTTAGAACTCTGAAAGTCAGCTCTTCCCGGGACATTTGAATGGTTCTCAAATTCTGTCCATGACACAGCCCCAGCAAGAGAAAGAGTGATCGCTTCTCTTAGCTTCCTAGAGCTGCCATAACAGACTCCCACATGCTGGATGTCATAAAAGACAGAAGAAGCTGATTGTCGCCCAGCTCTGGAGGCCAGAAGTTCAGAATCGGTGAGTCAGCCAGGTTGTTCCCTGGGAGGACTGGGAGGGAAGGGGCTGTCTCAGGCCTCTCCCCTAACTTCTCCTTCTCCTCGGTGTGTAGCCCATCACCCCCATCTCTGCCTCTGTCTTCCCCTGGTGGCTTCCTGTGTATATATCTGTGTCCAAATTCTGCTTTCAACAAGGACTCCAGTCATACTGGACTCGGGGCCCGCCCTGCTCCAGGATTACCTAAACTTACCTAATTACATCTGCACTGACCCTATTTCCAAATAAGGTCACATTCCAAAGTACCCTGAGTGTTAAAGGCTTGGTCCCCAGGGCAGTGCTATTGGGAGGTGCGGGAACCTGGTGGGAGGACCCCAGGTCACTGGGGCAGGGTCCTGGAAGGTAGTTCTTGTAAGAGGATTGTTATAAAACCTGACATTGGCTCTTCTTGGTCACCCTCTGCTCCTCGGCTCACTGTGGGTCTTTTCCTCTGCACACGCCCTGCCATCCTCCAGGCACCCGCTCTCCAGAGCCTGTGCGAGCCGCTTAGACTTTGAACCTACAGCACTGTGAGGTAAATAAACTTCTCTTTCCTTCCCCGGTAGCTTGTCGTGGGCATTTCATTGTGGAAGCAAGCAGCTGACTAGCACACTACTTCAACATGTTTGGGGGACACAACTCAACATAGCATCACCTACAGGAGGATTCTGGGGGATGACTTATGGCACCTGCTAAAAGCATGCAATGTTTTTGAAGTGTTATCTTTAAACCTCCTGCAAACTGAACACTCAACTCTATGTTTACTGCCCTATTGATATTAAAACATTTAACAAAAGTTTGAGAGTAAAACTGGGTGATCCAAAAAAAACCGTTCCATGTTGACCCTTGGGGTCCAAGAAGCCCTCACCAAGTCCCAACCCCACTTCTTTTCCTGTCCTAACAGGTGTGAAAGCACGGAGAATTGGAGACCCCTGAGAGACATTTAACTGCGTGTGAAGAATATCAACTGGGAGCTAAACAAAAAGGCATGCAAATTAAATACAAACAGAAATTCTGGAACACACCTGACCAAGCTCAGCAAGGAAACAGCACTTGCAGAGAGCGTGGTAGGAACTGCACGGCTTTTTTTCATTCTCTTCTCTTTTCCTTTTGAAAAGAAATCAGCATCAGACTAGCACAGTTCATCCTGTTTCCCCAACACAATGGCTTTTGAAGAACAGGCTTTTGAAGTGCAGGTACCATGGTGTTTGGGGACAAAGATGATGGTTGTGGTGGTAATAGGCTTCCTAACACAACTGATCAGATTCGTATTTTTCTATTGCAGTAAATGTGCCTTGAGTAATAGAACTTACCAGCAGCACTAACCATGGCCATCCTGTTCTATTATTTCCTAAGAAATAACATTTTCAAAAGTGACAAAGGACTTTGCGACAAAGGCACAGCCACAGGAGTGAGAATGACTCAAGTGGCAAAAAAGAACTCTCTGCGTGGTTAGCTTATTGCCTCACTTGGTTCGTGACACAGAAACAGATCGAGCCATTGCGTTTCCACATCACCAGGATCCGCTGCCGGCTCAGCCAGGATGCACTCACCAACCGCGACCCAGAAGATGGACGGGGCACTAAAGACAGCCCCAGGCATCTTGACTGCGAGGAGGAGAAAAGGCTTTTCCCTTTCATTGGCTGAACACATGGAGACCACTATGTCCCCTCCTTTCCTCTGCCTCTGTTAGAGGAAATGTGAACTTCTGGGGGCCGGCGCTGTGGTGTGGTGGGTAAGGATCCACCGGCAGCACCAGCATCCCATGTTCGAGTCCTGGCTTCTCCTCCTTCGATCCAGTTCCCTTCTGGTGGCCTGGGAAAGCAGCGGAAGATGGCCCAAGTGCTTGGGCCCCTGCACCCATCTGGGTGACCCAGAAGAAGCCTTGGAAACATTGGATCAGCTCAGCTCCAGCCGTTGTGGCCACCTGGGGAGTGAGCCAGCAGATAGGAAACCTCTTTCTGTGTCTCCTCTCTGTGTAACTCTGCCTCTCAAGTAAATAAATAAATCTTTAAAAAAAAAAAAAAGAAATGCAAGCTTTTACAAAGTCATGCCTCATCCACTTAGCAGAAATCTCTCTGTCACCTTGAGCTGCAGCCAAGGAGAGTCTGGACAGGGGCTTCCCCATGGGGCAAATCCAAGTGGCAGACCTGGCGACACCCCCGGCCCAAGGTTGCTGCCCTATTCAGGACAGGGCCTACGGGTCACTTGGTTCCAGAAGCCCTGCTGGGTAAGCCCTGCATACAGGTCACTTGTGCAAATCTCAGTGTCAACCAGCACAGGTGCCCAGACCCTGGGAGAGAGCATGTGGGGGTGGGGCAGAGGCGTCTACAAGGAAAGAGAGCGAAGCGAGGCTTCCTGAAGAACTGGGGCCTGCCTGGGGGTGGGGGGGGGGCTCAGCCCACTTCAGCCAGAGCGTGCCCCCCCTTCCCCCCCCCCCCTCCCCCCGCCAAGCAGGGCAATCTCCTGGCTTTCCCATGGCCTGGATGACCCAGCCCCCTCTGCCACGGCCTTGCCATCCCCAGTCATTCTGATCTCCAAGGGCAATGCCCCGTCAGGACCCACTAGGGAAGGACAGCAGGCGCGTGGCTGCAGGACACCGTCAAGGCACCACAGCAGAAATTGCGAATGACTTCCAAGATCGTTTGAAGATTTAAAGCTTGTGCATATCTTCCTGCTCCCACCCGCCTCTCAGCTCCTAGCCTGCCCCCTTTCCCAGGCGGCGAGGGCCATCCCCCAGGCAGCCGGGGCCTGCGTGCACTCTGGACCACATTGCGTGCTGTTGCCCCACATTCCCGACCCGGGTGAGAGCCCTGGGGGAAAGGCGATGGCGATACTGTAGCCATGTGCTCCTCCGCAGCCCAAGCCTGGCGAGTTCAGTCTGGGTGAGTGCTGGCCCCCAACGGCTTATGCATTCCCAGGGAAGAGGAAAAGAACGGACGGAGTTCCACAAAGTGCAGAAGCCGATCCCCGTGCTCAGGGTCCTCACCTGGAAAGTGCCCGGGCCGTGACGGTTCAGCAGGAGCCCCTTGGAGATTTCAGCGAGCTTGCGGGACCCCTAAACCAGGATGAGAGCAAGCCATGGAAGGCAGGGCTCAGCCTGGGGAAATCTTTAAAAAAAAAAAAAAAAAAACCTGGCCCTTAAAGCGTTCATAGCAAGATGGGGAAATGCTGTGTAATTTTAATTGGGGAGACTCTCCTTGCCCCCGGTTGGCTAGCACGGAACACCGGGCTGGTTACATTAAAGCGCTAAATCCCAAAACCTCCAGGAGAAGTAACCCCTGGTGATCACGCCTATTTCTTCCGTGGCCACGGCCTCCACCTTTACCCCTTTCCACAGCGGCTCTCACCCAGGGTGCTTGTTGTCCGTCCCTCACCCCCAGGGGCCTCCAGCAATGTCTGCAGATGGTTTCTGTCCCCACAACTGGGGGGAGGAGCCGGCAGGGGGGCCCCCCCGCAGGGGTCAAGGTGCTGAATCCTCTCCTCTCTCACCAGCCCACTGGACACTCAGCAAAACAGAACCTATGCCGGGGGATTCGGGAAGTGGGAGGGGCACCAGTGCCTGAGAACATTGGCAGATCCAGGGCACAAGGGCCAGACAGCAGCCCTGTGGGCGCCAACACCATCTTCTCAAGTCCGTTCAGGATCCCTGTCCGGTGATGGGCCCAGGGAGTCAAATGGAAGGAGCTTCAGTCCCCTAACAGTTTTCCGTCTGAGATGGTAGCAAGCACTAGCCAGAGACATAAAGGTGAGATGGATTGATGAGTAATAACAACAAAGGCCAAGCCAACTGTGCATGCTAGGAGCTGAGTGTGCCGTGAAGGACAGTGAGACGTTAGCACACGTGACTCAGTGGCCCTAAAGGAAGGAAAGAAAAGGACTGGGGAGGCTGTCCACCTGCCCCGCCGTGTAGCCCCCCGACTTTTCCTAAAACGGGTGCTGCAGGCTTGGGGGGGCAGATGCGGAATCGGAGTCACATTCCCTGCACTACAGACCCCGCAGTGAGCCTGGGTCAGCCAGGGTGATAAGATTTGTACACAGAGCAGCTCCAGGGCAGGGTCCCAGTGGCCTGCTGGGTTTGTTTTTCTGCTGAGAGGGCTCTGCCAAGGGGGTCTGGCTGAAGGAATTGGTGCTGGTTTATCTCTGGCTATTCAGCAAAACTTTCTGGGCCTCTTTATCTCTCCCCTTCCCACTTCCAAGCAGTAAAATCCTATCTATCTGCTCTGATTAAGAACACACACTGTGCGGAGCCTTGTGGAGCTCGGTGGCCCCCAGGGACAACCCCAGTGAGGTTATGGGGGATGTGAGAGGTTAGAACTCTTGGGCTAGCTAATGGTTTCCTCAAACAAGTGCCTCTGGCCTCACCCAAGAACAGCAATCCTGGCACCTGCCTGGATGAAAAAGACACATGCTCTGATGACAGCCTGAATATTTTCCAGGAGGAGCCAGAGCTGTGATGTAGCAGGTAAAACTGCCACCTGCAGCACCAGCCTACCTTACGGGAACCAGTTCAAGTCCCAGCTGCTTCACTTCCAACACAGTTCCCTGGGAATGCACCTGGGAAAGCAGCTAAGATGGCCCAAGTCCTTGAGCCCCTGCACCTACGTGGGAGACCGGGAAGAAGTTCCTGGCTCCTGGCTTCAGCCGGCCTCGTGCATGGCTTTTGTAGTCATTTGGGGAGTGAACCAATGGATGGAAGATCTCTCTCTCTCTCTCTCTCCCCCTCCCCCCCCCCCTCTCTCCCCCTCTACTTCTGCTTCTCTGTAACTCTGCCTTTCAAATAAATTAATAAATTGTTAGGAACAAAAATCTTTACAGGAGTTGCTAACAAGCAGTCGAAGCAACTGCCCCTGGGAGCTTTCTCCACTGACAATGAACCAACAGAAAGGTCAGCGGCCGGACACAGAAAGAGGAGAAGGGCCCTGAATAAACACAGACAGTTTAATCAACCATGAAGAAACCCAAGAGCTGACTGAAAGTGCTTTGTCAGGAGCAGGAGCGAGGCCCTGCTCCCAGGGAAGGGCCGGCAGGGCCAGAGGTCGTGTTAGCCGAGCACAGAGGCCACCGCGGCGGGCCCGGTGGGAATGCAGCAGGCAGTCTCCAAGGCAGGGAGGCAGGGAAGGAGAGGGAGAGCTGGCCTTTGGGCATTTTCCAAGGGGCCTGGCAAGCAAGCGTTCCCTCGAAAGAATTCCGCTCAGCAGGCAGCGAAGACACTGTGTTCAGAATTGCCCTGATGACTTCAGAGTGGGTCCCTCCTCCAGGCTCTTGTCCATCAAGTCTGTCGTTTTTTGATTCCAGATTCCTCAGGGTATTTGAAAAATGAGTTTATTTGAACCACAACCACAACCTGCACCTTAAAAATCAAGGTCAAGCTATGTGGATGCCCAAAAGGAAAGTTAGATGAAGAGGGGCTGGCTCCCCAGCCCCGGCCCTGTCATCACTTTCTTTGTAAGGCCCGAATACCCAATCGGATGGCTGCCTTCTCAAAAAAATATGACATTTCGTCATATTTATGTAATACCTTGAAACAGTGGAATCTGGAAACCCTGGCAACATCTGGGTCCAGATATATCTGAGCTTGTTTATGCTTTTAATTGAACATTTAAAAAGTGTAGATGAACTCAGCTATGGTATCACAGAAACGGCATATTTTTAGGTAATTCTTGGAATCATTTTGCAAACCACTAAAGTAACTTCACATTATGCTATATCTTTAAAAGAGAGTTCTCAGCTGTGAATACATTGGAATGACATCAAGGGTAGCATTCAAAAAAGTCTGCAACATGAAGAGGTTTGCTGAAGAATTCTGATTCCACTAGGACACCATCTCTTCTAGGACACTGTTAACCATTCCCTGTCGGCTCATTTGAAGTAGTTGGTTTGTTCTTATCCCATTTGAAGAAGGGATTCACTAAAGAATCTTTAACTTCATTAAGGCAAAGATTTCTACTGTTATCAAACACAGATGGGCTTCTAACCAGACACGCTCAGCAAGCACAGGTAGGACTCTCAGCCCTTCTGATTTTGGGTGAAGCCGCTCTCATCTTTACACAAGGACATCTGTGTCTGTCATCTGGCCTGTTAAATGCTTATTCCCTTGTGCTCAGTCTGGTTGATTTTAAGTCCGGGTCTACAGGCCCAATAATTTGTATAGCACAATTACGCTGTTTTTCTTCAGTCTTAGAGGATCAGGAAAAAGAAGTCAATTAAGGGACCCAACCCTTGGGAATGTCTTGGGAGGAAATGGCTCTCGGGGGTGTGTGGGAATTGTCCCTTTCCCTTGAAATTGGGTTGGTGTACCAGGGGAGCGATGAGCGGGATGTCAGGAACGAGGGGTGATTTAGACATGAGCAAAGGGATGCTATTTTCATGGCTGGACGAAAGGTGCCCTGTGCCTGTTCCCCCAGTTTATCTTTTCATTTTAAAAGTTGCCAACAGCCAGGCAATTGGCACAGCGGTTAAGATGTTGCAGCGTGTCCCATGGCAGAGGGCCTAGGTTCAAGTCCTGGCTGAGTTCCCAGTTCCAGCTTCCTACTAATGCACACCCTGGGAGGCAGCAAGTGATGGCTCAAATGGTTGGGTCTCTGCCACCCACGTGGGAGAGCTGCATTGGGTTTTGAGCTGCAAGCCTTGGTCTGGCCCAGCCCAGGCCCTCGTGGGGGATGTGGAGAGTGAACCAGTGGGTGGAGCTGGCTCTCCCCATTCCCCCTTTCAGTGTGTGTGTCTAAAAAACTTAAAGAGTGACCGCAATTGGGTACATCCTGACTGTTCAGGATGATAAAAAGAACTAAGCATAGACAGCAAAACCACAACTGTGAGCGCAACACCACCGGGAATCGTTTGCATTTTTTCCTGTTTATTAACATTGACGAGGAGTTGTATACTTCGGTTGCCATGGTCGCGTGCTGTCTGATGTCACAAGCCAAACCCTATAAAATCGCCGGGGCCGTGACAGAGAGGAAGAGGCCTGGCCCTGTCCACTGAGTAACAGGAACAGCCCAGGGTGCGGGTGG